GTTTCTTAAACAACGCTTTTCATTAACGTTAGCCTTGAAGGGTGAAGGTCACTCTTTGAGACTGCGAACTAAGTTCTTCCATTTTGACGCTTAAAAGCGTGAAATCACTATTCTTCGACCTCGACTAATCGACAAGAGGCAGAGAGCGACGTCGTAAAAGCCAACAGATCACAAAGTGTTTTGGTCCCGGGCTGTTGAGAATGATGCGAGGTTTAAACAACTTAATATATAGACAATCAACACTTGATGACACTAAAGAAAGCAAAGTCTCTTTGATAAAACAAACTTATTCACAATTCTTCTTTTAATATCTTGGACTCAGAGTACCCAGTGACGGATGATAAACTGAGTTCCCTTTCTTCTAGTGTAGAATTAAAATATTTCTCCCTCGCCTCTTCAAAAGACTATGTGCCAACACCACTTGCAAGGTAAAGGAAGGGTAAGGAATAGCAAAGTTTACACAAGTTCGATTGCACGTTATAAGCCCATGGCCACGACATGTTCTCAATCGTGGGTTATAGGCATAACAGTTCTTTTGACATGTAGGTCAAAACAATAAAGCGCACATATCCAGATGGACATACTGATGGACTAAACGGCTAAGGAGAAGAAAATAGACACTTGATAACGCTAACCTTCAGAGAAATTAGCTTCCAGTGACCGTAACGAAGTCCACTGAAAGAAAACGTTTGCATAAGAATACCAAATTTCACTTTGAAGCTGAACGGTTGACAGTGCCAGCATTATACTTAGAATATGATCTTCATTCTGAGAAATGTTAATGCCACGATAAACGAGAGACATTAAAGAACACTTTCTTAATTTGATCTGACTAGCTGGCCACTGAATAAAAAGATCACGTTAAGCCTTGTGCTACTTTTTGAATTGAGGAGACTAGAGCAGAATCGCAAAACGAACAGGAAATTCCATGGTTCCATTGCCAGAATTTAACCAGCCACAATTGGTTACTTTTTCCTGATGATTGGCTTGGTTAAAACCAATTCTATTCAGCTATCGCTCACTCGATTTTGCTGGAGAAATTCTAAAACTTATTTATGAAACTATTTTGCTTTAAGTTATTGAGTACCAAAAAAAAAAGAAACAAAAACAAAAATCAAACCTACAGTTAAGCATTTTCCTTACCCTGGGCGACTCTGATTCAGGGACGGAAGCATAACCGAAGGATGAAAGAAAGAAGAAAATCAATACCATTAAGATGAATATGACCCCTCCTCGCCAACATTCAGTGCTATAAACTAGTGTAAGTAATTGTGACTTCTCATAGATAAACTTCCCTCTATTGATGATCTTCCTATGAAGTTTTAGAACAAATAGATTATCAATCAATGTTTTTAATTTTTGCGTCGAGGTTTCTTAAACAACGCTTTTCATTAACGTTATCCTTAAAGGGCCTTAGTCACTCTTTGAGATTGCGCATTACGTTCTTCCATTTTGATACTTAAAAGCGTGAAATCAGTATTGTTTGGTCTAAAGAGCAACGTCGTAAGAGCCAACCGATCACGAGGTGTTTTGCTCACGCACTGTTGGGAATGACGTGAGGTTTAGACAACTCAATGTGTAGACACTATTTGCTCTGATCTTTTTCTGAGTCTCAATAGATTTTAGGGCTTTCCCTCTCGATAACGACAAAGTCTGAAAATTATGTTCTGCCTGTCTAGGGCAAGCATAAGAAATTGATTATATGGCAGCTCTCACGAGTTTTATCGGCAAATCGACAGAACACAAAAATATCAGCTTTCTAGGAAGGACAGGTTTATTCAAAGTAATCCTTAAAGACATTCAAAAGGTCAGGCTGAAAAGAACAAATTTTTTACAAGACGCAGGAGTTCGATGTTATCAAGAAGTTGAATGCCGGATGTGCAAGCGAAGACGTCTAATACACCGTAACATGGTAACATATTTCAATGACACTCGCACCTTATTAAAAAACAACCAAGGAATTTTTTAGGCAATTGTTTCACGAAGTGTAAAATAGAAGTATTCGTAAAATATTCATTCCAAAACAACACCAAAGACTTTTCCTTAATGTACTTTTGTATGAGAGCTTTTGGAGGTGGCAAAATCCCAAGATTAAACGGATTTTTTGAAACTGGACGGCAAAGGTTACCAACGGCCTGTTGTCACTATTTCCTTCGTTTTAAATGCGCATGCGTGAATCGTGACTTAGCCGCTTTAAGAAATATCTCGAAGACAATAAGGTACCCGAACTGCAGTCTTCATTTTGAGTTTTGGACAAACGCCATTCAGTAACGCATGATAAGTTTCTATTTGCTTTTCATATAGAATTTAGTTCGCATTTCGCCTTCACCTCATCAGAAAAATTTTGCACCGATAAGACTCGAAGAAGAGTTAGGAAAATCACTGTCGTACAAGTTCAATCAGTGCACGGTGTGAGCCCATGGCCACGAAATGTCACTAACAGTAGTTTATGGGTATATCAGTACTTATGACGATTAGGATGTTATCTAGTTGTATCAAGATCGATATATGGACAGCTGAGAAGGAAAAAAAAGAAAAATAACCATTCGCTAACGCTTACCTTCAGAGGAAGACGAGTTAGACCTCCCTAGATCTAGGGCAGAACGTGTGCGTTGTAATATTGGGCTACCCTGTGAAAAAAGTCTTAAATTACTATTTGGTTGTCGTATATCTTCCAGAGTTTCTGCGCACGCGTTTCAATTGTATTATCATGCTCCGACAATCTAAAAACAGCGGTCATGTTGGATTTTCAAGCCACGCGTTGAGGCCAAGGTGCAAGTTACTTCTTTACTTTTATGGCTCTTGCAATAATTATTCCATATGTTTCTGTATATTTTCAGCTCTGTTTCGTTCCCTTTGTTGTGTATATATTATGTGTTATTTCGTACCTTCAGCTGACACCAGGTTGCATAAGCAATAAGAGTGATGCCGAATGTGTATTTGATTATTATGTACGTGCTGATAAACAGTACAAATTCTGATTGGTCGAAGGGGTTTTCTCACAAATGAGAAGTAATTGTGACCGATCACAGGCCGCAGGCGGTATTTTCCATCAGTGAAAACAATCGTATCGGTTTTCCTGCCTTTCGTGGCGCTGCAGCTCGCCAAAATGAATGAAAGTGAATTTTAGCAACGTTCGCTACTTTCTCAGAAAAATGTAAAAGTATTCAAAGCGTAACCAATTTTTCCGTGGTATCTGAACAAAAGCAGGTAAGAATGTCTCTTTTTTTTAATGGAATAACGAAAGAGAGGTTGGAGAAAACGTCATTTTTAAAAAAGAGCTGTTTCATGTGATCAGGAATTTAGTAGGTTACCTAATTAAACATAATTAAAATAATAAACAGCACAAATTCTGATCGGTCCAACAGTTTTTCTTACATGTGAGAAGTACCGATCACAGGCCGCAGGCGATATTTTTCACCAGTGAAAACAATCTTATCGGTTTTCCTGCCTTTAGTGGCACTGCAGCACGCCAAAATGATTGAAAGTGAATTTTAGAAACGTTCGCTGCTTTCCAAGAAAAAACGCAAAAGTGTTCAAAGCATAACCAATTATTCGGTGGTACCTAAACAAAAGCAGGTGAAATGTCTCGTACTTTGAATAAAGTAACAAAAGAGAGCTTGGAGAAAACGTCATTTAGAAAAAAGAGGTGTTTCATGTGATCAGGAACTTAGTAAGGTACCACTAAACAAGTTAAGAGAGGATGTCAGCATCCATCGCACAAATTTGAAATATTGTGGCAAGTCG